AAAGTAAGTATGATATAAAATGTGTACATTTACACATTTTTTATTCATATTCTTGTAAGATCATTCAAATTTCTACCCTGCATAACTATTTTAAACAAATTAATAATTGAGTAGGTACTTTACTTCGTTATAAATTGTTATACGCTGTTGTTTAATAATATTTTAGAAGTTTGACAAACATATATTTGTTATAAACCCTAAACCGTGTTGTATAAATTATAATTTATTTTCCTCTTGTACTACATATATTGTATTATTGTATTAAAGTGATCGCGTTAAATGTTAAACTGCATTAAAACAAGCCCGAGCGTTGCTGAAATGAAATAAATCAGCGAAATCATCAGTTGAGAACTGATTTAGTAACGGATGAGTTTTACTAATTTAAAATTTTAAAAACATTGAAATATGTACATTTTATTAGTATATTTACTATATGCACGAACACGGTGCTCGTCTTTGATCGGAAAGTAAATGACTGCGTATTTTAGAACTATAATATTATTACACTTGGTTATTTTTTTAATGCTCAAGATTCTGAAGTCGTTGTGAAAACATTAAAATACGGTTTTTATTTGATTTCTCAAAACATTTTATCGAGACGGCATCATGAATTACGCTGAAAACGAACCATCTGGGGACTTCTATTAGAACTTTTTGAATAACGAACTTTAGTATAAATGATTTTATTAATCAAAATTAGCGACTGTATACTTCATCAACTAATGAAAAATTAACGGTAAAGACGTAGAGCTAGTAATGTTTCTCTTGGGCATATTTAAATAGAAAACACAATATTGTATATTATGCAAATTGCGTAGGTACCTACATATATAAATATATGCATCCTATATTAATTACCATATGCCAGTATTCTAAGCAAATGTAAGTTTGTAATGAAAATAAACATTTGCTTTCGCAATCTTTTATAATATTAACAAGAAAAAAAATTATAATACGTAATAATAAAGAATATTACATTATGTTATTATTTTTCTGATACAAATTAATCGAAAAAGAAGCTTTTATAATATAATAGCATACAATATTATATAGGTACTGTTATAGTGAATGTTTGAATTACTAATAACCAATTCATAGAAACAGCAATCAAAAATCACAAAAAAATAAACTATGAATTTGAAATTAAAAATGTAAACAACTAAAAAAATACGAATTATAATATTTTAATGTCTTTTTTACTGTAGAAAAAAACCAATCGGTAAATGTATTTATTTTTTTTATCTTTATGTTACACCGTTTTACCTACCACACAGATAATTGACATCTGCCATCCTCTTGAAAACCCAACGTTTTTTCGACGTTATAAATTATAAAAATAAAATATTTTTCCAAATATAATATTTGAACAACCTTTGTAAAAAAATAAATATCAATTATACAGTCCGTCACTGCATTAGCTAAAAAATTCCCCATGGCCAAATATTTTTTCAATTATATTTTGTTGTATTAATAAGGTACCTACATCGAGTTTTTTGTTTTTTTTTTTTTTATTCAGAATTCTTTATTAGTTTTTTTTTTTTTTTTTAGAAAACGCTCGTAAATTAATTAAACACAATTTAAATCATTTTAAAAATCTAGATTTTAAATAAAAAATTATAATGTATTATTTTAACTGGTGAAAACACCAAAATTTAATTTGTATTAAATTCTTATAAATTAATATTAATTGAAGAGAGTGTGTACTTAACAATTACATGAATATCATCTCAAATAGTGTTTTATGTCTTCTATTAGCGTATTTATTTAAATTCTAGAAATTATAATTAAGTTATTAATAATTAGTAACCTAACCAATATTTTTTTTTATACTCTTTTATTCTTTTATCCAGAGACTAATCAGATTATTGTACCACTTCGAAATGTTGTTATTTTTTAAAAAAATATGTTATATTAGTTTTACTATTCATATTAGGTATATATAATAATATGTATTAAAAAAATGATAATTTTTATTGTAATATTTGATAAAAAAAAATGTAAATTCTAGGTATTATTGAACAAAGCTTTTGAAACGTCAACAAGTAGATTATGTAGCGAATATATTGTTATTTAATAAGTATCAATAAAAATAAATTAATACAATAATTTCTATTATTTGTGATAAACTGAAAAATAAATATTCATTTTTATAATTTAAGGTAAAAATATTTATTGATTTAGTATTGAAAACCTTATTATAAAAAGGAAATAATTTCTTGTCATCATTCAGCAACTTAAATTATTTACAAGTTATAAGTATCAAACTATCTAACTAAAGTCTATACACTTTTATCAGTGATATTTACCAATTTATAATTTATAATACAATATTAATTCGTAAAGTGATTTTTTTCTGTTAAGGCTAAAAATAATATATAATTTAAATGTCTTTAAAAAATTTAAAATAATTGAATCCTGATCGATTTTGAGTAAAGGTAGTAAGATAATAATTTTATTGAAGAATAATCTCATAGCAGATTTTTTTTTTAATAAGAGAGATCTTAAATAAGTATCATACAGTTAATATTCATAGTTTAAATAAATATAAATTTATCATAAAAAGCGTGGAAAATATTTTAGTAATCTTGATTTGACAAAATCTATAGGTTTTGAATTATATTATTAGTTTCAAACTTAAAAATATTCATTACAGTCACTTACTACTTGCCTAATATTTTTTTTCTTATAAATGTTAGTGAAACAATCCAACATTCCTCTTACACAATTTATTAAATAATTAAATTAATACAAAATGATTTATGATATTATCTAAACATGGTATAAAAAATTATGTCCGTAAAAAATATCCCAATTAAGTAATGAAAATAATATGACATTTTCAAATTGAATTAAAAATATTAATATCTGTTTATAATATAAATATGTTGTTTGTGCAAAACAATTATAAACTAGTTAATTACCTTGTTAATAAAGATTAAAGTTGTATGTATGTATTACATACATTAACTACTCACTATTATGTACAAATTAAATATTTATATTCTACAAAATAAATTCATATTATTATAATTCAATTAAGTGATAAAGTTATATCCAATAAAATATTTAATATAGATTTTCATAAAATATTTAACTATAACAAGTGTATATTTAATCTTTTTTATTCTCAGCAGTTACAGATATGAGGTGTAATAAAACTATGAAATGTAAAATAATTTGTATTTGTATTTTTTATTCAATAACAATTTTTTTTAATAAGTAGCATTGTATTAAATAGTGTAATATAGCGAATCTCAATCTTTTTAGTACCGCGACCCAAATTTCCCCCGTTAAAATAAATCTTTAGTGACCCACATGGTTTCACTTTTCAAAAAGTAGTTAAATAAAAATAAAATTTGAATTTAAAATAATATAATATAATATATTTCAATTTTTTTTAACAAAATTTGTTTATTAAGTTTAAATTATTATTTTTATTATTGTATAGGTTTAAAACCAATATATTTTTACAAATGTACTTTTATTAATAATAATATATTTAATATTAATTTAACATACATTTCTTAGAATCTGTATAATTAAAAAAATTATTCACGATCCACCAAAAATTAACCGACGACACACAATTTGAGAAACGCTGGTGTAATTCATTATAATCAAATTATTTCAGGATAAAACAATATAACATACTCGCACAAATTAAGCCATTATTATTAATTATAAGTTATGCGTTATGCCGTTATAATGAATGGGTAAATAAAAAAAAAAAAGAAAGTTTTTTGTCGCCGTTAAAATCATTCGAACCTTTCTGCTTTAGTGAATCGATATATTACGATATTGCCGAGCGAATAAAGGTTATGAGAAAAAATGTAGGTATGACAAATATAATATATAACCTTATCACATGCGATTTGTTAGTTATTAGTTATGTTTAAATACCTACTAGCTAGGTATTTCATATTTATTGAATAATTCCTTATAAACAATTAGAAGGGTATACTATTTAGAGTCACCATAGAAGTATTATTTTATAAATTACTTAATAATTTAAATCGTTAATGTCAGGTATGGATTGTATGGTGAAAATTTCATTATTTTTTTTTTTTTTGGCATTTTTCCAGAAAATGTCAATAAACACCCTGTATTCAATTTTTATTCGGTCTACACGATAATATTTACAAACTTTTAAGCACCTTTTGTCTTATAATAGTGATTCTTCTATAGTTTAAGTTTTAAACTTTAAAAAAACTGAAAAAACACATATCATTGTAAAACAAATATGCACTATTGCGCTGCCTGAAACTCCTCATTATGACAATCCAAGTATAGAGCAAACGGTAATGTGAGCAAAAAATAAAAAATAAAATAACGTCAGCGTATAAACATACAGTGAAGTGTACACTTAGATAATATTTTAATTAGGACCCAGATTATGATGACAATTGTTAATATGTGACTCTTTCCTTGCATAACCGTGTACCTAAATACATTAAATGTACCTAAAAATATAAAATTTCTAAATTTTTTATTTTATGCAAAATCGTATTGTGAGAAAAATCGATATTTCATTTATCATATTGTAACATATTATACTAAAAGCACATCTAAACCAGATGAAACGTAAAATTTCCGAATTCAATTTTGATAAACCAACGTTAGTTTGAAAAATAATATTTCAACAGGATTTGAGCACGTAATTGCTTAATTAAATCATGCTGTATCGTGTACGCACCACGCATAGTAATATTCAGTACATATTTCCGAACAGTCGTATTGTTGTTTATAAGTACTTGCGTATGAAAATTTTAACAATCCTAAAAATTGTTATATATTTCGCTGGCATTTTTAATTAAAATATATTATACGCATGCGAACATAGTTTTTTATGTAATAATAATTCTTATTGACTGTTTTTTTTTTTTTTTATAGTATCGACTTTAGAACGTCCAAATTAAAATTAAAAATATTATAATTATATTTTTATCATAGAGCGCGTTGGATCGATGACCACTTGTAACGCGCTGCACAACTGCTCTTACCGGTCAACGGATGAAAGCGCCACTGGCCGGGCTTGCGACAAATACGTTCCCGACGTTTTTTATCGCCTTTGGTGTAGCTAGTTATTATAATCGGTCCTAGCTGTTTACGTTTGAGTCGATAACACCACCACGAAAATCTTTTGCTTGCCCGCACAAAAACACACACTGCTCACGTGACCGACAAGAATATATTATAATACTATTATAACTTTTTTTTTTTTTTTATTTACGCGATCGAAAAAAAAAACGGTGACACCCGAATACAGTAATCCGTGACGATATAGTCGAAAATATGATCAAAAACGAGATAACGGTTATCTGGTTATGCGCTCTGCGTGTTTATTATAATATAATGTAATATATTATATTATGCATACGGTACATCGTAGGACGCGAAACCGACGACGAAGACGACTGACCGTATTGCGACGAAACGAGACAAGACGGAACTCGATGGACGCCCGCGATCGACTGGCACACCGGAGACCACGCGCACCGCGTAAGCGCCGCAGCATCAAATTCGCCCTTTCGGTGGTCCCCTCCGCCGCCGCCCCTGACCCCGTCCATCTACTACATCACTATATACACCATCACCTCCCCCGTATAACTCCGACCACTGCTGCCGACGCTACCGCCACCACTCCTCGTCCGCCGTTACGACCGCCGCGGCGGTGGCTAAATCGAAAATCACCCGAAACTTATGTCCACGGTGGTGCGTAAGGCGTAAATTATATACGTTTACCTATGTATTACGCGCGTGCCGTTCGGTCACGTGCTCGGTACGTTCTTTATAGTCACTTGACCGTGGGTCGTGGTTTTTTTTATGTTCGTTTGTACCCTCTTACCCCATCGCCGAAGGTTAGTTTTTCATTTTTCGTTATCGTTGGGGCCGTTCGATTATTAAAATACAATGGCTGAATGGGTATCATATTATTTTGTTGTAATGCATCTGAGTCTCGTGTTTGAACAAACGGTTTTGTTGTAATATGTATTCTAATCGTCATGTCCTACAAAAAAGTACAATTCGTTATGTTGTTTTTATTTAAAACGTACGATATCTGTATCGTAGTATAGTTAACGGTACTGGGATGAAATATCTTAGGCTAAAGTAACCAATGAATAGGATATCCAGATAAAAATATTTAAATAACCAATTTACTTGAAGAATAAATGCTTATTATTACTAATAGATACCACTCTTAATTTTTAAATCACATTTTAAAAACACATTAAATTTGTTGTGAAGTACGTAGTTATATCCATAATAATATTAAGTATGTTATCTAAAGAATAATAATTATAAAAAAAATTTTCTAATGAACATTTTTAAAATAATTTATTTTTATATTTTTAATATATATTTAACAATCATTCCCAAGTAAAATATTGTTAAATATGTTTTTCTTAATAAGCCATTTTCAATTTTTTTAATTAGAAATTGTTTTCTTATTTCTTATTTATTTGAACTCTAGAAGTTTTATGCATTGGATATTATGGTTTTGATATTTTAGACTTAAATATTAAATATTTTGTGTTTTGACCTAGATTCTTAATTAAAATTTAATATGAATTATATATTAATACATATAGATAAACCCGTGTTATATATTATGAAAATTTGAATATAGGAAGGACCCATGTAAATATTTAACTTTTTACGATAAACAAACATTCAACAAATTAAAAACGTATTTAATAATTATTTATTTGATCAGAAATTCTAATAGTAAATTATATTAATTTGAAAAGTGTGATAATATTGTTTAACATTATAACATATAAGACCGATTTTTTTTCATTTAACTTGTAGAACACTTTTTAATTTGGATTAAATCTGATGGGTCTTTAAATACAAATTAATTAAGAGCAAAAAATATTTATGTTTCACCCTTAAAGTTGTTAAAAAATGTTTTAAAGTCCCAAACATCCGTTCAACTACGTTATATATGATTATTATTATTTTCCTAGCGTCAACGCACTTATTTGTATGCACATAATTAAAATATATAAATTGTTTAAACGTTCTCGGTACACTGCAGCACACCTGTGACGTTTAAATAGAAAACCGGTGAAATTGTTTACCCAGTGAAATCAAATATAGCACCGAAAAATGGCATTATCTATCGATTGTTATTACCCAACTAAATGTACTACAGTTATTATACCTAATCATATAATATTGACTACAGTACCGAAACGCGTGTTGTTTATAGGCCACGTAATTTTCGTCCAAAGTACTTGAGCAGTGTACGACCATTAAAACAATTCGATTGGAATCAGACGATCATCGTTTGATCTACTAGTTGTAACCTACTAGCTTTATTATACTGTAACTCGAATTCCATCAGTTAAACAAAGCAGCTGTGTATATAGTTCAATACATTTTTTTAATGTATTTTTAATGTTTTTTAATAACAGTGCACGGCAACGAAAGCCATAATGGACACGCATAGCGAATATATATTATTGCACCTTGTAGAAAAGCATTCTAATGGTTAGAATCTAAAAATATGAATCTTATCCTAATGTAATATTTTATTCCTAATTGTTGCAGTAAATTAATTTCATTTTTATTCACTAACGTTTTTTGTATACATAAAGTTCATTTTTTGACCACAATTAAATGTGGTGGTAAACCACAAATGTCTCAACTTGTTTGTATAAATAATTAAAATATGTTTCTCTTTCGTAATATTAAATTTAAAATATTATTGTTGTTTTATGCATATTTTTTTTGTAACTTGAAAGTTTTTAATGGAAAAAAGTTCAAAATGTGTTTAATAAAAAAAATCTAAGAAACATACATGATAAAAAATATGACTCATAACAATATAATAATTATTACTAAAATTATGCAATATGTATAAACTTATTTATTAGTTAATTTATATTATAATTATTAATAGTAAGTATTGGTAAATAACTCAAGTTTAATATTAGTATTTAAACATTTAACGATTTTCGAGAAATTTCAATATGACAATATTGAATTAGCAATCACTTTTTAAAAAATAAGTATAATTTGTATTTAATTTACTAATCTAAGAAAAATAAATAGGTACCTACTATTTTATATTACATTTTAGATCGCATAAAACTTATTTGAAAAAGTCCATTTCCAAGATTAAAAATTATGTTTATAAAAATTTAACTAACTAATTTTTACGTTTACAATTACATAAAATATTTTTTTATTAATTTATATTTTTTAAAGTTTTATAGTATAGTTATATAGTCGAATAATTTATTAAATTAATATAATTTAATACTCGACCTTTTTAAGTATTTTTTTTTTATAAGTGAAATTATTCTTACTAATAAACTCATTATATTTATAGTCACATTAATCTATGAAATTAAAAATACATAAATGTTTATGTGTTCATGTCATTTACTCAGTTTATATAAATTACAGTTAAAAAAATACTTAAAATGTGTTTGTGTTCAGGCACAGAGCTTTAACGTTTAAATATAGGTTAATAAAAACTATTTTCATTGTTATTCAAAATATTCACATTTTTTAAACAAAACAAGTAAAATATAACATTTTTAATTTAATAATAATACATCCAAGATGAATATTTGTATCACTTATATCAAGTATGTGAGTGTTTTAAATCATGCTGAAAATAAATAATATTAAATTAGTAATTTCATTCGTAAGTTTAAACTTATTTCTTATGATTCAAAGCAAATAAAGTAATTACTTGGGAAATATAATTTTAAAATTAAATTTATAACTGAATAATTCGCTAAACCCTATACTCATATTATATGCAAATAATTTAATTTATAATGTATTCCACTTTTTATTTTTATTTTGTTTATGATGATGCATGGTAGAGTTAGTAAAATAATTAACCAAACATTTAATATAAAGACACGTGAACTCAATCAAAAAATGTTAATATCAGAAAATATTTCGTAACCATGTATCATACGTTTCAAATAAAGTTTTGACTTATACTGAATACAAAAAAGTCTAGATTTTATAGGCTGCAAGTCAGTATAAACATTTCATTATATTGTATAACCGTGCGTGCGAAATGTTATGGGACGAATTCATATTTATGAGAAACCATATTCTCCGATTCTCAACAAATTGCTTTATTTCGATTTAAAGTAATAAAAATATTATACATAATATACAAAATTATAAATGTACGTTAAAGAAATATCGTAACTCAAAAATTCAGTCAAAGTTAAAAATAGTAATATGTTTTTATTAAGTTCGTGTTTATAACTTAGTCACAGAACACAGACTTTTAAATACTATATGAATATTGAATAAAAGCAATAAATAAATATTATGTTAAAGATCAATATTTTGAAGAAATTTAATACAATTTTTATTTTATCGCACAATAGTTTTCTAAAGTAACGCTTATTGTTATGGCGACTCTAAATGTGTATAGCTTATTATATTTACATATTTTCAACTTGATATTTTTATTTTGTAAGTTATTTATTTCACATCAATATTAATTCAATGTATCTTTTGACGTCTAAAAGTCAGTTTGCAAGACACGGCAAATTTCCATATTTTTTTGATTTGAATACGTCCCACAAGTTTTATACTTTTCTTTTGGTTTCTCGTTTTAAATTTTCTGCTTGACATTTTTGTGATTATAAAACAATTAACTTACATGAACAAGTTAAAGTTTCTTTTAAATTTAATCTATAAATATGAATATATAAATGTAATCATGAATTTATTAAGATAAAAAAAAAAAAAAATTATTGTTATTAAATCATTGAATCACTCTCTGTTTATATTTCTAACGACAAAATCTTTAACAATGATATACGAATTATGGTTACCACCAATACAAGTAATCGATGTTGCTGTATATCCAAGAGTTTTATTATTTTTAATTCTAAGCAGAGTGATAGGTTTATTGGTTATACAATGATGATTTTTTTTAAATATTATCTAAAAAAAAAAAAATATTGTGTCAGGAGACAATGTTCAACTTCTTGGGAGGTTTTTGGTTAAAAATTGAATCTTATTTATTTTTATGAGGTCAAAAGTAGAACATTTTTGCAAAAATGTCCAAGAAAATGAGATATTTACGCAAAATCCATTTTGTTTTCTTGTTGTAATTCCAAGAAGAATTACCATAAAAACTTACATTTTTTTTTTTTTATCAAATTATTAACATTTTTTTGATTTCATAGAATTTTTAAAATGTATTTACTTTTTTTTTGCTAGAAGATATTTAAAATGTTCAACTTAATTTAGTTCTTATTTGAACTAAATATTAAATTACTAAATAATAATTATAAAATTTTTGTTTTTTCTCTTTTTTTAATATTATATTTAAAGCTTGAAAATTTAATATAGGGGTTCTTATTATTTATTTATAACCCAATACCTATATATGTATATTTTTTATTTATATATATAAATAAAGAAAAAAAAATGTCATTTTCATCATATTTCACTTGTCATAAAGTT